GGATCGAAACCGACAGAAGCTACTTTTTTGCACTCCTTTCCTCTCAGGCTTTACTTGCAGTTTCACGGAATTTCAGAGAGGAATTTGGCCGATGAGCAAGGTGGAGGAGAACAGCGCGGGGAGCATGTGGCTCGGCTGATTGGGGCTTTTCCGATCCTGCTAGCTGAGACGTCGGGTGAAAGTGCGGAGACTGAGAGAGCCCCTTCCGCATGGGCCATCCATCCAGCTGCAGCTAGCCGCGGGCGCGTTCGGTCAGGTAGTTTGCTGACTCTGGTCCGCATCGTGACTAGCCTCTTCCATCCTGCTTCCGAAGCCACCGCCCACTACGACCTCGGCGACATCCACCGCTGCTGCCTGCTAGACGGTCTGCAAGCCGTGACTCTGGAAAGCTTGCTCGCTACTCGGCACACACCCTTCGTCCGCGTCTCTCGCCTCGGCCAAGATGCAGTCGGCCATCCAGTCGGTGACGCACAACCTGCCGCTCTTCATCCAGAAGCCTGCCATCGCGCTCATCGGCCAAGAATGCTACACGACGCTCATCTATAATGTCGACCTGAGCTCGAGCCACTGCGTCAAGTATGCCATCTCCAAGGCGCTCGGTCTGGGCATCGTGGTGTTTGGTAGCATCATGAAGGTGCCGCAGATCCTCAACATTGTCAACGGACGCAGCGCACGCGGCATCTCGCTGTCCATGTACACGCTCGAGGTGATGGCCTACACGATCTCGCTCGCCTATGCGGTTCGGTCGCGTCTGCCCTTCTCGACGTACGGCGAAAATCTGAGCCTGACGCTGCAGAACATGGTGATCACGCTGCTCGTCATCGCCTACACGGCCGACGCACGCACCGGCCGCGTCGACCCGTCTGCACACTCGACCAAGATTACCGTGGCTGCGGCGCTGATGGCGGTCGGCTCTCTGGCACTCGCCACGCCCAGCGTCATCTCGTCGTCGACGCTGACGTTCCTGCAGGCATGCACGATTCCGATCTCGCTCGCATCCAAGGTGCCCCAGATGGCGGAGCTGTACAAGGACAAGAGCCGCGGCCAGCTCAGCAGCATCGTTGTGTTTGCTCAACTGCTCGGCACCATCGCCCGCGTGTTCACGACCATGACGGAGACCGACGACAAGCTGCTGCTGTACGGATTTGGACTCGCCACGCTGTTCAACGCGGTGATCGCTGCGCAGGTGGTCTACTACTGGAATGGAGACAAGGCTTTGGCGGAGCAGAAGAAGCGCGATGGGGAGAAGCTCGGCCTGCATCCCGCTTCGTCCAGCGTCGCACCTTCCTACGAGCCCTTCACCGTCAGCACCCACGGGCCGGCCAAGAACCGCGGCCGCAAGCTGGATTAGATTCGCCTTCCCGTAGGATGTATAGCTCTGTCTTCAAAATAGGAACACCGAGAACGAGAACCATATGAGAGGGCCGCATACCCCATTGCGCTGGATGTGCTCTGTCGTCTGAAGCGCCAACGATGACATCTGGTATGCTCGAACAAAGTGTGCGTGTTGGTCTCCCAGCGGGCGCTGGTTGGGTGTTTGGAATTTGGCGCGAAGTAACACTGGTCGATTTTTGGGCCGAGTGTTATTTTGAGGCGGCAAACTCCACATCGGAACCCAAAGCTTGCCGAGCTTTCGAGGGGCGGTGTGCCAAGATGCTCATCAGCCGGGCTCGTATCGATCGGCCCACCCGTCACACCACCACTCCTCTTCTCACCCTCTTGAACCTCTCGGCTCTCTTCCGACGACCTCACAGCAAGATCGCTGCAGAAAAGCGGCAGAGATGCTCTCGTTCTGGCCGACGTCGGGCGGCGCCTCGAGCAGCTCGACAGCTCCACCCATCACTCCCTCGTCATATCGCATGCATGCGTCCGGCACGTCGATAGATCGACCTAGACCAGCAGAGTGCACCGCAACCGAAGACTCAAAATCTGCAAGAAGCGATCGGAGAATCACGGTGCTGTCTGTGGTGGAGCAGTCGACCGGAGTGCTGGGCACGGTGCTTTCGAATCCGGTCGGGGCAGCGGTTGCTGGCATCTCGACGACCTCACTGGCTGCTTTGTTGTGGTGGCGCTACTTTCGACGCATCCCAACAGCCGAATACGTCACCCCTGCCGTGCTCAAGTACCGCAAAGTGCTCGTCGGCCGCGTCGTTACAGTCGGCGATGCCGACGGCTTCCGATTCCACCACACTCCCGGCCCACCCTTTCTGCGAGACTGGCTGAACCCCTGGCCGCCACGCGTGCGCAGCAAGAACGCCAAACCAGGCACCCGCACCCGTCTCGTGCGCGAGACCATCTCTGTGCGTATCGCAGGTGTCGATGCGCCCGAAAGCGCCCATTTCGGCAAACCCGCGCAGCCCTACTCGAAAGAGGCCAAGGACTTCCTCACGTCCATGGTGCAGTCTCCGTCGTCGCCCGACAACCTCACCGCGCCCAAAAAGTCGTTCTTCAGCTCCGCAAGCTCATCAGCACCCGCTCACACCAGCAACGACGTGTCGACCAAGGTCGTCTGGCTCTACCCATCGCATATCGACCAGTACAAGCGGCTCGTCGCCACGCCTTATGTGTGGGAGCCGCCGTATGTGCTGGGCAAGACCAACGTCTCGCTCGCCATGGTCAAGCAGGGACTCGCCACGGTATACCGCTCTGCAGGAGCCGACTACGGCCAAGCCACGTGGTGGGCGCGCTTCTGGCGCAAGTCGACCACCGGCCTCACCGCGCTGGAACGCGCAGAAACCAAAGCAAAGTACGTCGTCGTTGCGCCCACCCTGTCGATGAGCTAGATCGCTGACTTTGATGCACTTTGACACAGACGCCAAAAGACCGGCATGTGGAGTCTGGGCAAGAATTTCGAGAGCCCCGAAGACTACAAGAAGCGCATCAAGGGCGAAGCCTAGCCCCCTCTCGCCGATTCAGCCACGACTTTACGACACGACACACAGAGCCTCGATACTGTATGCTCGAAAGATACCCACGGCCTTGTTTTTTTTTCAGCCTAATCATGAAATTGCTTTTTGACGATTCGCCATGTCTAGGCCCAGTGGAGCGTCTTGCCCTCGATGCTGCTCTGGCGGATAAGGCGAATGAGCTTGACGGCATTCAGCGTGCGCTCAACGCCCACAAGCGAGACGCTGCTGACCGCCTCGGCCACGCTGGCGCCCTGCGCCTCGGCGTGCTGAGCCGCATTGATCGTCGCAGCGATGTTGGCGAACAGGTCGATGTATCTGCCGGGAAGCGTGGGGATCGTGGCGACGGACAGCGTGGGCTGCTTGGGTGCCGCGCCGCCCGAACCAGGCGCGGGCAGCGACAGATCCTCGTCCGACCTGACCATGGTGGTGAGGCGGCCGAGACGCACGGTGTCCGGGTCCTGCTCCGAGTACACGCCGAACTCGTCGGGGTGGCTCGAAGGCGTCCAGCCCGCCTTGAGCTGGTTCTCCTGAGGGTCTGTGCCGCGCTTCTCGTATGCGCCGCGCGTGCCCTCGACGCGCAATCGCGGCTGCTCCGCATCCACGTGCGACGACAGACACGTCGCGCCCAGGCTCACGCGGAGCCCGCCGATCTTGGAGCCGGACGCAGGCGACGAAGGCGGCAGCGGCGCAGTCGAGGGATAGTTGAGGATGGCGAGCCAGTCGTCATCCACCGCCGCAGGGCCCTGGTTACGCTGGTTGCGCACGAAGCCCGTGACGCTCTCGGGCGGGCCAAAGAGGAAGAGCGCCTGGTCGATCAGGTGCGAGCCGAGGTCCCACAGCATGCCACCGCCCTGCGTGTCCGGGTCGACCTCCTCCCTCCAGCCGCCCTTGGCGTAGGGGCGGAATCGGTCGAAGCGCGACTCAAAGTACGTGGGCACACCCAGCGCCGACGGCTCGGCGCCCTTGTCGGAAAGAAGGCTCTGGATGGTGAGGAAGTCGCCATCGAAGCGCCTGTTCTGGTACACGGCACACAGCTTGCCCGTCTTGTTCTGCAGGTCGATGAGCGTCTGCACGTCCTTCTCGTTGGTCGCCACGGGCTTTTCGACGAGCACGTTGAAGCCCGCCTCGAGCGCGCGCTTGGCGAAGGGGAAGTGGGTGTCGTTGGTGGTGGTCACGATGATCAGGCCGTTCTTGGGCAGCGTGGTGAGCACCGAGTCGAAGTCCGGGATGATGGTCACGCCCGGGAAGAGCTTGGCGGCATCGGGGGACGACGAGTTGGCCGCGGTGCGCGGACGCTGCTGGATCGAGTGCAGCGTGAAGAGCTGCGGGAGCGCCTGGACGAACGGCAGGTGGAACGTGCGTGCCGAGTTGCCGAAGCCGACGACACACACGGGGATTGGAGTAGCTGCAGTGGTGGAAGACATGATTGCGAGAGGCAATGTGGATGATGGGTGGTGGTGCGGTGGAAGGTTGGAAGGAAGCGAGCTTTTGTATATTCTTCGACTGCAACGCACAGACCGATCGGTGCTCAGCTCGTGCGCTACTCCACATGCTAATTTTCTTGTTCCAAGCTTGTCCGTTGTTGCTGCGCATCGAGCATGAATTGCTGCACACTTCTTCTCATTTGGCCTCCGGCTCGGCTTGGCTCCATGGAGATACTTGAGCCTTGAGGCTGAGCATGTCGTTGACAGCGTCCGGTTGGTTGGTCGGCGTCGCTTGCCGAAACGACCGACGTCGCGGCAATGCAAGACCAGCACCTCGACTGAGCCACGGACGAACTCTGCACCCCACGCCCAGCTCTTCCGTCCGTCTTCCGAAGTTCCAAAATTGCCCACGCTGATCGCAAGCCCAGCTCGCTTTATCGAGACGCCGTCGCCAATCGATGCTGAACGAGTCACCGCCGTTGCTAGCGTACCCGCTCAGCCTTGCTCACTGGACAGACCATCGTCAGTGCCGGGCAGGTGCTCGGGAAGTCATGGCAAAAGCACTTGTCAGGGCCGATACGATAAAAAAAATGGGGCCAAAGGAAAAAAGGAACTGCAGCACCTAGGATTCCC